AAGAGGAGCAAGAGGAAGAGGCGGATGAGGAGGAGGAGGAGGAGGAGGGGGAGGTGGGTGGACCTCCCCTTTTCCGACTCCTCCTCCCATCCTCCCAGTCTTTGTCTTCACGTGTCATCTTTTGTCCACCCCCGTTGCGGTGTCTCCCTCCGTTCTCTTTCGTGTTTCTTCCTTCATTATCATACATATTTATGTCGTTCAGCGTTCTCCTCCTTCTTGCCCGTTTCGGTGATCACTCCCATCTTCTTATCTTGCACCTCATCCAATCCGTCTCTCTTTACCCCCCTCCTGTCTCCGTTCCCCCTTTCGTTCTGTTATATGTATATATATATATATATATATATATATATATATAGGTGTTTCTCTTCTTCCGATCCCAGTTCCTCCTCATGCCTTTGTCCCTCCCGCCCCCTCCTCTTATCATGCTTGGGCGCAGAAGGGGGACAGAGAAAGGGAGGAGGCATATACTATCAGATAGTATAAGTGAGAGAGAGAGAGGGAGAGAGAGAGAGAGAGAGAGAGAGAGGGAGAGAGAGAGAGAGAGAGAAATAAAGAAATTGAGCAGGCAGCAGCGAGGAGAGAAAGAGCGGGATCTGGAGAGAGAGAGAGAGAGAGAGAGAGGAACCTGAACATGTTTACGAACAGACGCTGGACCAGGAGGAACAGAAAGGGGATGACGGGAGGATGATGAGGGGGACGAGGAGGAGGGGAGGCACGTGTGAAGATGACGAACTAAGATGGAGGAGCAGCCGTGGCTTTGGCTTTCCTTGGTCGCCAGAAGGCGGACGCAGGGCAGACGCCACGGAGGCGCCTTGCTAATGCTGGCATATGATACTAGTGGGAGCCGCTGGTCAGGGCAGCTAAGAAACCACAGGGATGGTGAGTCCCAGCCTCCTCATCAGCATCCCCTCCTCTTTCCCCTCATGTTGATCCCCCCACCTCTCACTCCCCCCCCATCTCTTTTTCCTCCTCCCGGTTCCCCTTCCCCCCTTATCTCCTTTCCTCCGACCTCTCCTGTTCATCCGCCTTCCCTTCACATTCGCTCCCCCCCTCCTCCCCATGTCTACTCCCTATCCCATTCTCCAATCCTCTGCCTCCGAACCGCCCTCAGTCCATCGTCCAGTCCTGCCGGTGGTCTCGGGGAAGGGAGTAGGAGGATAGTTGGTTTTGTCCGCCCCCCCCCCTTCAAACCCCCAGCTCCATCCCCCACACTTCTCTTACTCGTCCTCCTTCCTGATCCTCGCCATTCAATGTTTTATTCATCTTCATCCCCGTCAATCCCCTCCCTCACAGTTTGATCAATTGCTTCCGTTTGCGCGCTCACTCCCTTTCACCTCCCCCTCACCCACACTCCCCCCCTTTCCTCCCACTTACTTTCTCCAGGATGGGGGGGAGATAGCTTCGCAATCCTTGTGGTTTCGGCTGCCCCGAGTAGGCTCACGTCCATGCCGCCTGCATCAAATGACTGTAGCTATCCAGCGAATGAGGGGCACAATGCTACGGGCATGACATTGTGCGCATCCTCCTCATCGTGCTTCCCCTCTCGTCTCTTATCCCCCCTCATGCTGTTGCAGCTTCTCTCGATCCTCCGCGTCTTGCGTGTGTTCATCATCGGTATCTTCATTGAGTTGTCCCGTCACTCTCCTAATGGTGGAGGTGTTGTTCCGGTGTTCCTGCTCGTTCTCCGCAAGCATGTTGCTTCTCCGTGCCGCCCTGTTCTGTCTATTCTCACGTTGCGTATCACCCGTCCATTCGTGGTCATTATTCTGGTTGTCCTCCCACTCCCTCCACCGAGCTGTTGTACTACTACTCTGCTGCCTCGCTCCCTCTCATGCCGGTAATTTCCTCCCGCTTCCCTCTGTGTTGCTTCTTAGTTGCCGTCTGAGTCGATGTTGCGGCCGCCGCTTGTCTCGGAGCAGAGTGGCGGTCTCGTGGCGCAGCAGCCACTGAGCAAAACCGACTCGATGCAATGCCAGCCCAGGATTCTTTTCGTTGTGGCCGATTCCTCCCCTCCCATTATCGTGGAGCGAGATGAAGGGGTATGAGGGAGAACATGGAGGGCGACATCAGTCGAGGGGGAGGAGGCCGAGGACGAGGAAGGAGCTCGTGACACGGCTGCTAGCGTCAGCGTCAGGAGGAGGCAGGAGGAGTAGGAGGAGGAAAAGGAGGAAGAGTGGGGGGGAGTAGGAGGAGGAGAGGAGGAGGAGGAGGAGGAGTAGGAGGAGGACGAGGAAGATGAGCAGGGGGAGGGGAGGAGGGGGAGGAGGATGAAGGAAGGAAGGGGACCTGTATGACCACACAAGGGGGAGGGAAGGGAACGTGGGAGGGAGCGGGGCAGCAGGAGGGAAGCCTCTCCATGCCAGGGTGCAGGCCGAGGGGGGGGATGGGGGAGGGAGGGGTCCTGCACTGTCCCTCCCGACTCCCGCCTTCCTCCTCTCGACGACGACGACGTCGTCGACGACGACGGCGACGATGACGACTGCGACGACAGTCTCTGCCGTCTTCAGCTTGTCCTTCCCCCCCTCGTCTCCTCTCTCCGGCTTCCCGCCACCCCATGTTCTTTCCCTCCTTTCCAGGGGGGAGGGAGGAGAAGGGAGGGAGAAGGAGGGAAGAGGGGGGAAATGGGAGGGAGGAGGGAGGGAGAAGGAGGTCAGAGAAAAGGATATGGGTGTACATATACGCACTTCCTGCCGCCTTCCCTCTTCCGTCCCCCTCCCAGGGGGGGGGGGCACAGGAGGGACCCCTTCCTTCCTTCCTTTCCAGGGGGAGGGAGGAGGAGGGAGGGAGGGAGGGGGGGAGGGAGGAGGAGGGAGGGAGGAGGGAGGGAGGGGGGAGGGAGGAGGAGGGAGGAAGAGAAAAGGAGATGAGTGCATCATGCACCCCTCCTGCCGCCTCCCCTCCTCCGTCCCCCTCCCAGGGGGGGGGGGGGGCACGGGAGGGAGAGGGACAGGAGCGGGTCTTTCGGGGGGGTAGTGTGGTGGACGGGCGCACAGGAAGAGGGGGTAAAGCGGGGTGCAGGCAGGCGAGGGTTGGAAAGAGTCAGAGATGCGGACAGAGGACGAGAAAGATAGAGAGATGAGGAGGAGGTGGGAGATGGAGAAGGAGAGAGCCATAGAGAGAAAGAGGTGGGGGAGAGAGAGAGCGAGAGAGAGAGAGAAAGAGAGAGAGAGAGAGAGCGAGAGATGGGGAGGGAGGCAGGGAGGGAGAACAGTGGAGCTGGAGGCGTCGCATCGTGGATATAACTATTCGTGGCCCCAGGCGCCGAAGCACGCACTCGAAGCGCAGGCGCGCGCGCGAGCTCCTGCGGCAGCCCCGAGGGCGAGCCCTTGGCGCTCGGACGACCTCCGATGTTCTTGCGCCGGGCGCTCTCGACAATGAGCCGTTGTCACGTCGCCCTCCTCCCTCCCATTCGCTCCCTCCAATCCTCTCGCCTCTGTCCACTCCCTTCTCCTGTCTCCCTTCATCTCTCTCTCTCTCTCTCTCCCCCCTTTCCTCTCTTTCCACCGATTCCCCTCGCCTCTCCCTCTCCTTGTTATCCCCCGCTGCATCCTCGCCGCACTTACCCCCCCCACCCACCCTCCTTTTTCCCGACCCTCTTTTTTGCCACCCTTCTGTCCTCCCTCCCTCCCGTCCCCCCCCCCCAGTTTCATCACCTGCGTCCGTCCAGCGCTGCTGTTTCTGCTGCTGCCTCCTCCCACTCCTGCTGCATCCTCCTCCCGCTTGCCCTTTGCCATCCCTGTTCCTCTCCCTCCTCATTCCTATCACCCTCCTCCACCTCCGAAGTTTTCTGTTCTCCGCTCCTCTTCATAAGTCTTCTCCTCCTCCTCATTATTTCCCCCTCATTG